TCCTCTGTGTACTCGCGGTTTTGTGCGAAAACCGGAGCTCTCTGAACACTCTCTCTATCGTGTTTATGCTCGTTGTGGTGTGTTTAGAGGGGCTGGGGAGGCGGCTATTTATAGGAGCCGAACCCCTAGGAATATACCCTCTTGCTTGGGGAATAAGTCGGATTAATTAAGGAAGATAATTACTTCCTTAATTAAAACCGTCGGTTAGGATAAATCCTGCGGAGATTATCCTTCGAATATTCCTTTTCAATCGATTATCCCTTGGAATATTCCTCTGAATAACCGATTAATAATTAATTATTAAATAATTAATTTCGTTCGGAATTTCTCCAAAAATATGTATATAGTCTCAAGCCATCCATCCAACCAACCAACCAACCGACCGACCGGTCGGTCGGACGGACGGACGGCGCGCGCGTGTGTGTGGTGGTCCGTTAGGTCCTCCCTCTCCCACAAAAGTGGGTCACCCCAAGGGGCATGCCCTTAGGAGAGAGGCTCCTATCTTTATACTCATTTCACCAAGTAAAACTACCAATGTGGTAGTTTTTCCACTTGAGACTCTATAGCTTTCAAAGCTATTCATACACATTTCCAACAATCCCCCACTTGAATAGTTTTGAAACTATCTCTGAGCATCAACAGTTCCATAAGATCGGGCATAAGCTAAGGTATCGCGAAGATTTGAACCTTAGCGTAGTGGTTACACTTCCGATTTCATAAGGGTGACTCGTAGTCTTGAACCCTATCTCAGACAGTGTAGCACACCAGATCTTTTCATTGAGTTGTGTTCTCTTCTTAGCCCGTGCGTTTATGGCCATGCACGTTATCCTGGTTTAGTGAACGCTCTAGCAACTTTGTGCCTCTCAAAGTTCCATAGGGAGCGGCCCCACTCCCACATTCACATAGGTGAGTCTATCAGGAGTACCCCCAAAGTAAAGTACTCCACCCCACATAGGGTATAGATCTCATTAAGAGTTATTAACTCAACCTCCATTGCTTTGGGATTCATGCTTCATTATGCATGAACTTTTCGCATACTACTCATGACTTGTTATTACCCATTGAACCCATTTCTTGGGATCTCCAGTCTATTGGGTCGGGTTACCATCACTTGTAGTCCGTGGTTCGGTAGGCATAAGTCCCATACCCTTGGCGGTATTCTGGACTTTCTCTCTAGGTAATCCTTTCGTCAAAGGATCAGCTAGATTCTGTTCGGATCTTATATGATCCACCCTCACTACTCCTATCGTTAGGAGTTCTCTAACATGACTGTGCTTACGACGAATCTTTCGTTTCTTTCCGTTATAGAACCGGTTCTCAACTTTAGCGATAGCTGCGGTACTATCACAATGTATCAATACCGGAGGGACCGGGCTTTCCCATAGGGGAATCTCTGACAACAATCCTCTCAACCAACTTGCTTCTTCACTAGCCGTTGCTAGTGCTATCATCTCTGATTCCATAGTTGATTGAGCTAGGATTGTTTGTTTCTTTGACTTCCAAGACACAGCTCCACCAGCGATGTTAAAAACATATCCGCTGGTTGCCTTGGAGTCATCTGATAGGGTATTCCAATCCGCATCACTATACCCTTCTAGTACAGCGGGAAACCTTTGATAGTGTATACCAAGGTTTGCTGTTCTCTTGAGGTATCTCATGACCCTCTCTATAGCATTCTAATGCTCTCTACTAGGACAGCTGTTAAACCTGCCAAGCAATCCCACGACATATGCAATGTCTGGTCGAGTGTAATCCGCAGCATAACGGAGACTGCCAATGATGCTAGCATATTCTGTTTGTCTTACACTGTCTCCAGTGTTCTTGAATAGCTTTACACTAGCATCATACGGAGTACACGCAGGTTTACAGTCGAAATAGTTATACTTCTTCAAGATCTTCTCTATGTAACTAGATTGATCTAGAGAATAACCAATTGCTGTTCTAGTTATCTGGATTCCAAGCATAAACTTTGCTTCTCCCAGATCTTTCACCTCAAAGCTCTCTTTTAACATGGCTTTCGCTAAATTGACCACGTGAATATTTGTACCAAATATCAACATGTCATCTACATACAAACATATGATAGTGCAAGTGTTATTCTCTGTCTTGCAGTAAATACACTTGTCACTTTCATTCACCTTAAAGCCATGTGAGAGAACGAGAGTGTCAAACTTCTCATGCCACTGTTTTGGAGCCTGTTTCAAACCATATAATGATTTGTCCAACTTACAGACTTTCGAGGCATGTTCAGGGATAACAAACCCTTCTGGTTGTTCCATATAGATTTCTTCATCTAGATCACCGTTCAAAAAAGCAGTCTTAACATCCATTTGGTGTACCACGAGATTGTTCAAGGCAGCAAGAGCAATCATGACACGAATGGATGTTATTCTAGATACTGGTGAATAGGTGTCGAAGAAATCTATATTCTCTCTCTGCCTGTAGCCCTTGACTACTAGGCGAGCTCGGAACCTTTCGATTGCACCATCAGGTTTCCGTTTCGTTTTTAGAACCCATTTATTACCTAAGACTTTGCAGCCAGGAGGTAAGTCTGTTAGATGCCAAGTCTTATTAGCCTCTAACGATTCCATTTCATCTATAACGGCCTCATTCCAAAAGTCTGCATCTATGGAAGTTAGTGCTTCCTGCAAACTTTTTGGATCCTCTAGGTGTATACTGTAGTAAAGTCATCACCAAAATCTTTAGAGATTCTAGCTCTTTTACTTCTTCTGAGTTCATCCTCAGATCCAACACCCCCACTAGTTCCGTTATCTCTAATAGCGGGTAGTACATTACCCACACTATTTCTCGTTTTAAATGGAAATCGTGTCTCAAAGAAATCAGCATCAATGGATTCTATTACAGTACGAGCATTCAAATCATAGAATCTATATGCCTTACTATTGGCCGCATAGCCAACGAAGACACATTCATATGCTCGACTAGCCAACTTAACCCTCTTAGGATCACGAATTCTTACGTAGGCCAAACAGCCCCACGTTCTTAAATAGGACAGATTAGGTGGCTTATTCTTCAAGATCTCATAGGGTGATTCTTTTCTATTTGTTTTTGGAAGACGATTTAGCACATAGCAAACCGTCAACAAAATATCACCCCACCAAGAAGAAGCAGCTCCAGAATTGAGCATAATAGCCACAACTAATTCTGTAAACGTCCTATTTTTCCGCTCAGCTTTACCATTCATTTCTGGTGAATATGGTGCCGTGGTTTCATGAATGATACCATGTGAGCTATAGAATTCCTTGAAGAGATTAGAGTCATACTCTGATCCTCTATCGCTCCTAAGTCTTTTTATCTTTCGATTGCACTGATTTTCGAATTCAACCACAAATACCTTGAACATGTCAAGGGCTTCACTTTTGTTTTTCATCAAATAAACAAAGCAATAATCAGAGCAATCATCTATGAAAGTGATAAAGTATCTCTTGCCAGACCTAGTTAACGTCCCATCTAGTTCACAAATATCAGAATGAATCAGATCTAAGGGTTCTGATTCTCTACTCACAGATTTATGGGGCGTTTTCGTTATTTTAGCTTGGCTACAGAAATCACATTTATCAAATTCATTCATTGAGAGTTTAGGGATATGTCCTAGCTTGCTTAAATTCTTCACCATTCGTGTGTTCACATGACAAAGACGAGCATGCCAAACATTCAAATCACACACCATGTAAACTGAAGAATTCATCTTATTAATTTCGACATTCAACTTGAACATCCCATTACATGCATATCCCTTTCCCACAAAACTCCCATTCTTAGTAAGAGTATACAAGTCTGCCCCAATAGATTGATTAAACCCAGCCTTATTAAGAAGATATCCCGAAACAAGATTCTTCCTTATCTCTGGAGTGTGCAACACATCCTTAAGCACCATCTTCTTCCCAGAGGTGAAGTTCAGCTCCACTTCACCAGAACCAGCAACCATAGTGGTGTGAGTAGTCCCCAACAACACTTTCTTGTCAGCAGGTGCTTCTTCATATGTTTTAAACATAGCACGATTGTTGCATACATGCTTCGATGCACCTGTATCCAGCCACCATCCTTCTGAGTCACCAGTGAGGTTAACTTCAGCGATCATCTCTGTGATCATGGCTACCAAATCCTCTTCTGTCAAGTTAACCCTGGCCGCAGCGGCGGGGTTATGCTTGTTCCTGCACTTTTTTGCCATATGACCCGGTTTTCCGCAGTTAAAGTAGATAAACGGTGGGTCATTCTTAGAGGTTTGGGCCATGACCCTTTGGTTACCTCGAGAGGCACCATTCTGGTGGGGGCGGACCTGCTGGTTCTTACCCTTAAACCCTTTCTGGTTAGGTTTAAGAGCTCTAGGGGTGGGTCGTTTAGCAGTGACGACCATCACCTCTTCTTTCATATCCTGCTTGCGGGACTCTTCCTCAATCCTTAGGCGAGTAATCAAACTTTCCAGTGAAAATTCTTTGGTTTTATGTCTAAGCATATTCTTAAAATCTTTCCACGAAGGGGGCAGCTTATCAATAATGCAAGCAACTTGAAATTGATCGTCCAGAGGCATACCTTCAGAGACGATCTCGTGAGCCGCTTCTACCAACTCCTCGTCTGTAGGCAACATTCCGGTCTCTGCAAGTTGAGAGAACGACTCCACCACATCTGTAGCTGGGTCAACTTCCTCGGCATTAGCAGCGCTAGTAGCCTCATGAGCTATCTGCAAAATGTCCTCAAAAGAGGTATCTGGGAATGTATAGTGTATCACCATAGGGACTGTCGCCTCAAACAACTCCTCGTCCGGTGTCTCTACAGTCTTCTCAGCTTCATTCTCCACCACCTCAAATCGATTCTTCTCTTGAGAATCTTCTTCACATTTCTCTCCAGTTGTCTCCACTTGTGGCTCGACCTGGTCCCTCTAGAGGCTGCTCATCCATTTCCATTTTAGCTTTAGTATTCTCAACTCGGTCTTCCACCACATCTGTTTTAAGCTGCTCTAGCACCTCTTCAACAGTATTCTCCAAATGTCTCTTCCTGGAATCCACGACCTTGAACCTGTCATGCTCTTTCTTCTTTTCTATCATATGTCCCAGTTTTGTTGCAAAGTCCAGCAATTTTCCCATATGCCGGTCAATCCCAGCACCTAGTACCTTGAGCTGGAAGACAAACGAACATTTTGCGGGAATTAAAAACTATATCCAAACTGCTCGTACAATTATCCCATGTACCCAGACTATTATCATAATAGAGCGTACAAATATTCAACTTGGCAGAATTGATATCCAAACATAACAAACACAAATATCCACAGAAATATCCAAATGCATCAAATTAATATCCAAACATCACAAACCATTATTCATAACTGAAAAGAACAACAAATATTCAAACATTATTCAAACATCACAAACCATTATTCAAACATCACAAGCTGATATCCAAATGAAACCAACAAATATTCCAGAACAACAAACTAAAATCCGACTAATATCCTAAGCCATTCCAACATGGCATCAAATTCATGGAAAACAGTACAACCCCCCACCAAACAACGGAAAACAGTACAACATGGCATCATATTCACTCTTGCTGTTCCAAATTCTGGACAATCGTTTGGACCTTGTCCCTTCGAGCGACCCACTTTTCAATCATGCTCTCAGTGATTTCCTTCAATCCCTTAAGCTACACATATGTTGTGAAATATTTAGGTTAATTTATCGTCCAAGTCTACCAATGCACGATCTTAGTTAGGGAGGAAGAAAACATTTTACCTGCCCCAGCGAAAGGCTAGTCAAATCTTCAGTCTCCCACCATTCCGCGGTGGGCAACGGTGCACGATCTGGAGGAGGAGCTGAACTGCTCGCAGCTGCTGCACTAGCTGCCGGCTCGAGCTGCCTGCGAGAGGCGATTTCTTCCCTACTCAGCAGAGCGGCAGCTATGTCATATCTTCCCCTGACTACGGGGATAGATGTGGCTGCCCTCTCGACAGTTTGCTTCCACCAAAACCGGCAGCTAGGGATGCTCTTTGTGTGCAACCCGCCTAGTTTTAGAGAGTCCAACAGATGGAGCTGTAAAAAAAAATACAATTAATAAATGTTAAGTTCCATTTCTAGCAATTTAATCAACAAATATCCAGAGTCAACACAAACTGAATCTTATGTGACTAAACTGATATCTAGAAATCCTTTTAAGCTAGTTTTCATGCAAACAGTATCTTATGTGACTAAACAAATATCCAGCAGATCATACCCAAATACGAAATTCACTAGTTTTCATGCAATTGAACCAACAAGTATAGAAAAGGTATGGACTTACTGTCAAGAATTAGCAATCTCCGAGAACCCACACGCACGGCGAGCGCAACCTTGCACTAGGTTCTTTTTTCTTGGCAGCAGTCAACTCTACTTTCAGTTCACGGACAATAAATGTGCACCAATCGTACACCCTCACGTCCTCAACACTCCCACCTAAGTATGGGGCAAAATCCAGCTTGCACCTCCGAGAAAATGTTGGCACGAGCATCGAACCAGTAGCTAGCAGCAAGAATTGCTTCACAACAATTGCAACAGGTGGTCTAGGACCGTTGACTGGAATGGCCAACTCCCGCATCTGCTTGATAAAAACCATGCGAGCCTTGTTCGAAATCATGCCAACTTCCTCGCTGAAACTATCAAGCATCCCCCCCCCCCCCTCAAAGTTTTTCAAATCAATCACAGCCCCACCGAGTGGAAGGTCGTAGACACGTGCCACATCCTCAGCTGTGAAGTCGAAGACCTTCTTCGAGTCTCCTTCCCCAAAAACAAAAGTACTGGATGAGGAGTCATAAGCAGCCATCAAGTCGTCCATGAAGACATTGGGTATCTTCGGCATGCGAAGCTCCAATAGGCCCCCGAATCCTGCCTTCTCGACTTCTTTCTTGCAGGCTGCATAGTATTCAGCATCTTCTTTCCAGTAGTTTATAATTTTGCAAAGGGAATAGGTGGACCCACGAAATCTGAAATATGAGCCGCGTGGACCCTCTCCCTCATCATCTTCTTCCTCATCTTCCTCCTCAACTTCTGGAATAGCAGGCGGCGGCTGCCTTGATTTTTCTCCTTCACGAGATCTCGATGCAACCATTTTCGTTCTCTTCATCCCGGGTTGTTCCTGAAACACAGTTATATATTAAGCAAAATATCCATAATCCTTGGACAAATAACTAAAACGCACACTTATATACAATACAATTATCGTAGTAAAGCAAAAGTGTATCCAAACGGAGATAACTGATATCCATGAAAAAAATATCCATAATACCCAGAAAAAAAACTAAAACGAACAGTTAAGTATCCAACTTAACAGAACTGATATCCACACATCAGACACATCAGATTATTTTTTTTTGCAAATACATACAATTATTATCGTAGTAAAGCAAAAGTGTATCCAAACGGAGATAACTAATATCCATGAAAAAATATCCATAATACCCAGAAAAATAACTAAAACGAACAGATAGGTATCCACATTAACAGAAGTGATATCAACACATCAGACACATCAGTTTATTTTTTTTTAGCCAATATAACTAATTATTATCGTAGTAAAGCATAAGTGTATCCAAACGGAGATAACTGATATCCATGAAAAAATATCCATAATACCCAGAAAAAAAACTAAAACGAACAGTTAAGTATCCACATTAATAGAACTGATATCCACACATCAGACAAGTCAGCTTATTTTTTTTTTTGCCAATACATACAATTATTATCGTAGTAAAGCAAAAGTGTATCCAAACGGAAATAATTGATATCCATGAAAAAATATCCATAATACCCAGAAAAAAAACTAAATCGAACATTTAAATATCCACATTAACAGAAGTGATATCCACACATCAAACACATCAGTTTATTTTTTTTAGCCAATATAACTAATCGAGAAACGAAGTGAGAAATCAAACCTTTGGTGGTTGTTCAGCCGGCGGCTGCTGTGATGATCCAGCTGCTTCACGAGATTTCGCTGCAGATTTTGGTGGAACAGTTTTGGATTTCTTCCTCACGGGTTGTTCCTGAAACATAGTTAGATATTAAGAAAACTATCAGTCAATGAAAATATTAAAATGCATCCGACTAGTAATTTTTAGCCAACATAACCGATCGAGAAACGGAGTAAGAAATGAAACCTCTTGTTGTTGTACATCCGGTGGCTGCTTTGATGATCCTTCTCCCTCATTGTTGGGCTTTGAGTTCTTTTTCGGTCTCCCCATTCACTGAAACAATATAAAAAATGCCCAGAATAAGTATCATAATTGAAAAAACTGATATACATATAACATTTAACCAACGAATCGACAAATGATACCCAGATTCAACAAAATTGTATCCAACAAACCCCCAAAATGGAATTCGAGAAAACATAATGAAACAATATATAAAATTATCACAATAAGTATCGGAAGTGACAAAACTAATATCCATGTAACATTTAATCAAGGAATCAACAAACAATACCTACATTCCCCAAAATCGTATCCAACAAACCCCCAAAATATACAAATCGATAAATGAAACCCTAAACCCCAAAATCCGAATCCCACAGACCCAGAATCCGGTAATCTGCAAAAAAAAACCCTAAACACCCATATTCGAATCCATGAAACCCTAAATCTACAAATCGAAAAACGAAACCCTAAACCCCCAAAACGAAACCCTAAACCCCCAAAACGAAACCCTAAACCCCAAATTCGAATCCCACGAACACAATATCTGGAAATCTAGAATCAAAACCCTAAACACCCTAAATCGAATTGCATGAACCATAAATTATCAAATCCATAAACAAAACCCAGATTTCCACAAAAAAATATCCATGAAACTGAAACCCTAACATAAATTTTGAAATCCACAAACAAAATGAACAATACAGAAGTAGAACTACCTCAGCGTCTTCTTCTACCTCCCACGGCGGCGGCCTTCTTCGGCGGCGAAGTCGGCTCTCTCTTCTTCTTTCTTCTTCGTCGGCGGCGGCTTCTTCCTCGTCGGTCGGTCCAGCGTCGACATCGTCGTCGGCGGGAGATCCAACAAGCGGTCGCCGATCTCGCAGCCGTCGTCGCCGTCGCTTTCCTCGTCGGCGTCGCCTCTCTCGTCGTTGTTCTGCGGTTTTCGGGAGAAGAAGAGGGAGAGGGTTCGAAAGTTGGAGAGAGGGGAGAGAGAATGGCTGAGCGGGTTTGTTGGGTTTTGGGTTTCAAATTTGGGTTTTTTTTTTCTGTCCCCACTTTTCCCAAAAGTGGCTCGGCTTGGCCAAAAACACTCCCCCCCTCACAGAACAGGGTCGGCGACCCCTGGCCTTCCGATGGTGGCTCGGCGACGTGGCCCATCATCCCACCGTGTTAGTATCTGCTAACCACTTAAAGGGTTAGCAGAATAACGCTATTGTGAAGACAAACCCCAGAAACCCAAAAGGAACCCTGATGTGGCAGCCCCAGCCATGAGGAAGAAAATAGCTAAGCAAAGGTGTGCGGTCCAGACAGTGGAAGATGAAGAAGATCTAGCTCGTGAATACCGTTTACTTAAAAATCTGAAGAAAGGGGCTATCAACGTAGATGAATTCGCAAAGCTAACAGGAACAGAAGAATTAACTTGAAGTGTATGTCCTGTTCTGTTAACATCGGCACTTGCCTCCTTGGTGTTCGGAAAGGCTCTTTAAAATTGCAAGAAAAAACTTGAGCAGTAGCAGGACGGGTACAACTCCCAAATGAGCAAGTCGGCTGACAGAAGCTATACACTAACACTGCGAGAGAAGTATAATTTTGTATAGTCCTCAATCATCGAGGATTTGCAGTCAGTAGAAACTCCTGAGAGACTGTAAGAAGCATATAGCTTGTGTATGAGTTCCAACAGAGTACAGACAATTATGTAGCTTCTGGTTCGGCAGATTTTGTGCAAGAAACAAAAGTTAAATTTCTCCAGGAGAAGCTGATGACAAAGCATCCTTGATATTCAACGGGGAAAAAGCATCCTTGAACAACATAAGCAAGAGTACACTTGAAAGGCTCTTTATGATCGTCCTCTCCTAGTTCCTTCAAGCATTGGCTGGCTGTCTAGGGTTCATAGTTCAGAGCTTCCGATTTACAATTTAAAAGTTTTGTTTATACAAGTGTTGTTTGGTTTAATGTGTTTGGCCAATGCTACGGTGCCACAACATCTGATTGGGCCACGTGGAGGTTGATGTGGCATGGTTGGATATGTTTTGCTCTGGTTCAAACCAGTAGCCATGAGATTGGGCCCAACAGCTAGGTATCAAACAGACGGAAAAGCCTGACTGCCGTTATGCATTTTTACCAATCAATTCGGTTGAAATTTATTTTAATTGTATTTGTTTTTCCAACACAGAAATCGAACAAAAAGCCAGAGACCAGAAGGTCGTATTCCTCGATCAGGCGCTCCTTCTCTGGCAAACTTCATCTTCGCTGACCCTTACGCCGCCATTAAACTTTCGTATTCCTTCTCGCTAACACAAGCAGCCATCTGTCTCACTAGAGGTACTTTGCCGGCACCGTTGACGACTATCCATAGCCCAAGGAAGGATAGCCCTCCCACTGTGTCGTCCTTGTCACTCTTTGCCCCCGCTGTCACTGTTGGAATCGACTAAACTGGACGATCCGCAGCCCAAGGAAGGATAGCCCTCTCTCTGTGTCGTCCTTGTCGCCCTTTGCCTCCGCCGTGGCTGTTGGAAATTGGAATAGAATAAAGTGATTTCGAATTTCGTTGGAGGGGCGTATAGACTCTCCACAACGACTGCACCCGTTCCAGGTAATTCAACGTTAGTAGGTGCATCAACTAGGACAATGATTCGCGTCATTATTCTCCTACATTGGTTGTAATTCTTTGGTGCCTCTTAAATGTTAAGCTAGCGATGCTGCAATGGGAGCATTGTTTGGGTGGTATTCCATTCTCAATTGATCTTTCTTTATTATGAGCAGCAGAGTGTTGTTGCTTTGTTAAGTCAAGATTCAGAGTACCATAGGGGACTGCAAACTACCATGGACTACCAATAACCCATCTTTGCATTACTAATAATACGTAAT